TATTTATTTCTTCATTAAATTGTGTTAGGAACAAAAATTAGATAGCTTAACACTTTTTTTAATAGAGATGCATACTTTCAAATTAAAATATCATATCGCAAAAACATAATATAAAAACATTAATAACATAAATACACATTTTTATTACTAATATGTTGCGTATCTTTCTCTTTAAATAAGTTTTGAGATATTACCCTTTACGGAAAATTAAGCGTGCATTTTATTAAAAAAACATAGTACGACCGGTCGACCTGTCTTATAATAGAATTTGTGTTGCTTCTTACAATTTGAGTTATGAAATTGGAGAAATTTAATAATAATTAATAATACCTAAAAAAAAAAAAAATAAACCTCCATACTTTAGGATAAGGGTTAATAATAATTACATTTTAGAAAGAACAAGTAGTCGCCTGGCCTTCCCGCGTTTTATGCTGAACCCCATTTTGTTGTGTTCCTGATAATGACTTGATTGATGCTCATCACTGTGTGTGTCACATTCGCTCCATTAAGATTAGTAATTTAGTTGATGGGCAGATGAAAGAGTCCTATACACGGGACGTCGATACACCATTTGTGAATAACTATGGATAACTTTATAAGCCGAACCATCCGATGGCTTCATAACAAACCGATGAATCCAATCAGCGTTAAATAAATTATAAGTAAAATAGATTGAATTGATGATTTTTGAATTTGAAATTAAATAATATCTAATATATAATAATTAAAGTTTTACATATAATATCTGATATATAATAATTAATGTTAATGTAATATAAAAGTTTAAGAGATTATTAAAATTGATTGGTAATTAATGAATTAAAATTTATATGATTGTGAGAATAGTTGATTGATATAATTTAATTATTATATTCACTGAAAGTGAAAGAATTGTGTTGAGCTAGATTTTGAGTTAAATGATTGAATATGAAATAACCCAACCGGCCTAAAAGGATGGCCACTTCCAAAAAAACAAAACACTGTTAAATGAATCGACCTTTCATACTATTTAAATAAAAAATGTGTACTTATACTATCAATGTCATACGTATATTTTTGTTAGCCTAATAGTTTGACAGGCCTAATACAAAAACCAAATTTTGAATCCCTGACATTTTCATTTTTCTCCAGATCAATATGTCAATTTGACATGTTTTGACAATGTCATATTGAGGCCAGTTGTATAGATAATGTAACAATCAAAGATAACAAAGATGTGTGAAACGGTACTAATAGAATATTAAGTATGGTAGCAGCTACACGGGTTTATTACCGTTGGATCAAAATACACGTGCAATGCATGTAACCCAATGATGATATCTAATTCGACTCGATCAGTGTGGACAC